ACGGATTACAAAACAATATGCGGGTCCTATTCTAGTTAATTATATTTGCCAAAATTTTAAGAGAATTAGGTTGTGTAACAAATAAATAAAGGGTAATTAGAGAAATGACAAAAATCTAAGCCAAACCTTCTATTGTTTTGCAAAGGAATTCCAACATTTTTTTGTCATTTTTCTAATTATTCCTTAATTCTTTGTTATTAAGCTAACTAACCCAAAATATAAACCAAAATCAAATTAGTGTTTCATCCAAAACAATGGTAGGAATTATGGAAACTTAAGTGAATTCCAGTGATTGGGTAGCTAATTAAATTACATAAGCTCGGTTTATTTTCACATCGCAATGTAAATGACTCAGTTTCTAAACAAATAGAAAATGTTCCCGCTCTTTCACCTCCAAACTTTGCGATGGAGCAAAATAAAACATTAAAATTTTGTTTAAATCACAATAAAACATAAAAAAATTGTTGTCTACTTTATTCTTCAGTAAAAAACCATACAAATTGATACAATACAAGCTTACAGAGACCACATAGTGATCATTTCGCTGCATAAAGAGCCTTTCAAGTTGAAGCCAATTGCAGCATTTTATTCATAAATATTACAGATATAAAGGTATGTGTGAATGTTACCAAGCCCCTTCCTTTGTCATCCTAAGGAAATGCGCGAGGCTGATGCTCGGTTTCTCCCCCGAGTCACCACTGTTCTTCCATTTGATACTCGTTGTCTTCGTTGCTTTCTTTCCTATTTGTTCTGTTGCAGTTGTAGACACCAAATTGTGGTACTGCTCCAAAGAAAAGAGTTTCTTTAGGTTGTTACTCTTTATATTACTAAACATGTAACCAGATCATAGCTCAGGAGATGTCGTGGCTCATACCTCACAAACACCGTGCAAAAGCAATCTCTGGAATGGGTCTTGAACCTTGAGCTCAAGAACATCTCCTTCACCACCTTCCTCAATGAAATGACTTATACAGTTCTGTGAAAAGCAATAAACAATTCTTTCAAACTAGGGCTCTATGACATAAATTGTCATCTCTGAAGAATCTTTACCTCATATCCCTCGATTAGATCTGGTAAAAAGCTACGCCAAAGAGCCTCTCTTGTTCTACAATCTATTCTTCGCCAAGCATTTAAGACAGCAGTTTTATCAGCATCCACACGACCATTCTGCCTTACGGAAGAGTGATTCAAGGAGTCCATGATATGGGCCTAACAAAAACAAAGTTGCCAATTATTGTTAAGACCAAGTATGTCAAAGAAAACACACCATTTGATTCTACAAACAACATATTTTCAAAGCAATATGGTAACCTTTTTAGTTCTTCCAACACCGAGTCCCAAAAGACAGGTAACTTACCTCCTTGTCCATGTCTATGTTTCTAAATTTGTCCCATTCTCCAACATTAGTCAAAGAAAAGGCTGAAGGTGGCGCCTCATCACCTGTTAAGCAATCGGTAGAGATGTCAGAAACCCCAATTCTGTATACTTGAGATTCATCAGAAGAGAAGCATACTCTTAAATGAAATGGAAAGAAATATTATTATTACCCCATGGTGGTGGGGCAAACAAGCCTCTGATTTCTTCAGCATCTAAACGAGGAACAAGTTCCATCAGAATACGATCATTTAACCACCTCCGAGATCGCCGGTTACTAACCTGCATCATCAAGCCATAAAACCCATTAGCTACAAGAATATCAACTTCAAAAATTCATCTTCCCTGTCTTATGTAACCAACGATCGAAATAATACTTTTTTCCCTTACACACATCTCTAACAAGAGAAGACATTGTCTGAGAAATCAC